AATTCTCAATTCGACGCTAAATCGATGCTAATTTAGCAACGATTTAGCGTCGACATCGTCGTTTGTCGATGCAAATTCGATGCTAATTTAGTATCGATTTAGCATTGAATTGAGTGGCTGTCGACGCTAATTCGATGCTAATTTAGCATCGAATTTGCATCGAATAGTTGCCTCGAACAAACGGCGACGTAAGTTCGATGCTAATTTAGCATCGAATTAGCGTCGACTATATTATAGCGTCGAATAGAGTTCGACGCTAATATAGCGTCGAATTAGCGTCGAATTTTATATGTTACAAATTTAGTGACGAATTTGCGTCGAATTAGGTTTAGCATCGAAATGTAATTCGATGCTAATTCGACGTTAAGAGGCATTAGCGTCGAATTAGCATTGAATTATGCCGATGCTAAAACTGTGTTTTCTTGTAGTGTTCACTGAAGGTACCAAATGCCGATTTATCGTGCAAGTATGTTATTCTTCAAAAGGTAACTAATTGTACTGACCTCTGTTTTAACATGCCTCTAAACTGTCCAATTTGCTTCTTATTTCTTGTAAACCACATACTCGTACGCCCTAGAGAACACTTGCGTTTAGTGTATATGTTTAGATAGCCGATTCGAGCCAAACCATCTTAAATAATCTTCTGCATGATGGTTTCTAGTCTTTGGATTTCCATCATTGCTCTCTCTCTCTAAAGCAGTAACTTTTTTCTTTGGTTTGACTAATTCCCCAGGCTGGTGTCAGAGTGGAAGAGCCTGTAAAACAAGTCTTGAACAGCCAAGAGGTTGAAGTATGGTCTCTTATCACATGGAAACTCAAATGGGGTATGATCTTCTCTGATATCAAAATGAAAGTCAGCGGTAACTGCGAGGTCTCTGAGAGATCCATGATGGCTATTATGGGTCGTAATGTATTTATTGAAGGTCTAACCTTGGACGGTGCTCTTATTATTGATTCAGTTGATGATGCAGAGGTATGAAGTGTGTTTTTGAAAGCCGTCGTATCCATTGGGATTATAATCATGTAAAGACTTATTTGACATATGAAAAACAGGTAAAAATGGGAGGTTTGATCAAGAACAGTGGTTGGGCTATGGAAACCGTAGATTACAAAGACACATCTGTTCCAGAGGAAATAAGAATTATAGGTTTCAGATTCAACAAAGTGGAGCAGCTGGAAAAGAAGTTTACTCAGCCTAGAAGATTTTCTATGGAGGATTGAAGGTCTATGCATATGGTCACACTTTTAAAAAGTGTTATTTGGTAATGTTTATGTTCCTTGGATGAACTCTGTAAATAATAAATCATCATTAAGCAACCATTATTTAGTAAAATCATGTTTATGTTCCTTTCATGTTTTTTTTTAAAAAGCAATATTTATCACTGAATTGCTACTCGTAGCGGTAAATTTATAGCTGAAAACAAACAAATAAACAAAAAGTTTAATCAATAATTAGAGCATTAATATATTAATTCTCCATTTATCATCATCATAATTCATAAACATGGCACATCGATATAGATAAAAATATCGTAGTACAAAATAAAGCACATATTATAAACCACTATTTTATAGAATAATCAAGATCATACAATAGTCGAGGAAGGTGGTGTTGGTCTAGAATGCCATTGTGGAAGACTGCATTTGGTCAAACAATTTTGGTAACAATGTTTGTTATGATTGCCACAATTTATACAACAGTTTCTGAAGCAAACAAATCTTGGATCTTGCATTCGCTTGGTTTCATCAACATTCATTCCATTGCATGCTTGTAAACCACATCC